ACACACACACACACACACACACAAACACTTTGCACAGAAGTCACACTCATCTGCAGCCTTTTTTTTTACCATCAAACCTGTAATGATCTATCACATAAGGCAAATTCTTGATCAGGCTGCAGATGCATGTACAGACAGCTCCTTAACACACATCCACAGAAACAAGGGTGTTGTGAATGTCTGAATTTAACAGTGAAACTAAATATTCAATCTTATTAAGTTTCAGGACTGAACTTGATTTGTGGCCCTGCTGCATAGAGAGACACCCAGGAGCTCTTTTATCTAGTACTGTTGTGTTTTCTGCTTAAAAGGCTGAGAACTGTAATATTCTTATCCTGGTTATCCTGAAAAATCTATCCTTATTGTTATGGAAAATGATATGGTTTTATTCTTTTTTACTTAGTGTGCATTTTCTTATTCATGGTTCAAACTGTAAAATCTGAGAAAGATTATTTAACCACATATTTGTTTTATAATAGAGTCTGGTTTTCTCTAATGCAGTTATCGTAAGACCTAAGGCTGAGTTAGCAAGCCACACATATAACAACTGGAGGACAGTACATAATATCTCTGCAGGAACAGTAGTTTGGCGAAATGAACCAAAATTTAGATATTTGTACAATAGAGTACAGCTCAGATTTGGATGATCGTTTTTTGAATGTATCATCAGCCTGGTCTCACTGATGCATCTGCCACTGAGAATAAATACTTCTGCTTAAGACGTTATCCGTCTTATGACTTTTCTTTCTTTCTTTGTCTCTCCTACCAGGATCCGTCCTCAGCTGGCCAAAGAAAAGATCGAGGGATGCCACATCTGTACATACGTGATGCCTGGCGAGCCCCAGGTGGTGCTGGGTAAGGATAAGGCCTTCACCTATGACTATGTCTTTGACATGGAGACCCAGCAGGATGCCATCTACACCCACTGCACAGAGAGCCTCATCGACGGTTGCTTAGAGGGCTACAATGCCACTATCTTTGCTTACGGACAGGTCGGTCCACACATAGTGGCACAGCACACACACACACACACGTTCAGATTTGTGCACGTTCTGACTTTGCACCGCTCAAGGGGAGGGAGCTGCGTCCAGAATCCAAAGATTTATTGCAGCAGTGTGATATGGAGATGATTTCATTTCATATCATTAGAGGGAGTGAGCAGCCTCACAGCCACACCGGCTCTGTCAATACACGATCAGCCGACATGTTCAGACCTGTTTTATATCGGCTCTGATAGATCCACCCGAGAGGGAGAGACACTAACAGAACAGTTACCCAATCAGCTCCCAGCTTCACCTCATACCAGAGCTGAGAACTGAAGCTCAAAATCGAAACATACTTGAGAGATATTCAACAGATGAGACTTTAACCTGCAAACTGAGAGATCCACACTTCTGTTCCCTCCTGAAATGACAATGTATAGCAGAGGTTTAAATCAAAATGTAAAGGGTCTGCTATTGTTAAATGTACTTTGTTCCCATTTCAATGTTTATTTGAGTATTTTTGTTCTTTAATGCGTGAGTGTATGGAGTTTAAAAGATGTTATGGGGATCGGACTTAAGCTTAGGAATAGTAATTACACTACATTTATATAGCAGTTTGCTTGTGGATCACCAAGTGCTTTACACTGTGTGTGTCAATCACCCATTCATTCATACTAGAGCCTGACCAATATGGATTTTTGGGGTCCCCTTATGACAAAGATATGCAATTGATATTTTACAGTTTAACCATAAACCTCATT